TAAAATATATAAATTTAATATATTAAAATTATATATATTAATATATACATATAAAAATGTATTATATAAATATAAACCTTCATCAAAACTTAAGCTCAGTTGAAAGAGTTGGAACAACTTGCAGGAGAAATAGTCTAGAATTTATATTTAACAGCTAAAGTCCTTTCAACCTGTTAGCTTCTCATGTAGGAATCTTGAAACACATGACATGGTTGTATGTCCTGGACTCCCAGATCCACCTTCTAAATGCTCCTTTCAGTTTGGAACTTAAAACTAGCCTGAGTGTTCATGATCTGCAGCCTGTGTGTGGGACCGTTCCGCTCTGCTCACTGACTACTTTGTCTGTCTTTTTTGAACCTCCTTTTCAGTATAAATGTGGCTTTGTGCAGCTTTTGCCATACAAGTAGAATTTCAGTAGCGTCTTTCAGAGTTAGGCTTTGACACCAGTGTGCATGCCTGGGACTGAGTCATGTGTGTTCATGAAGCGATTTCTTGATTAAACATGTGATACACATTTAAGGAATCAGCAGGTTAATTACTTTGTCCACTCTTAAGTGGAAATACGTCAGCATGTTGTAACACAACTGCGTTACTAGCTTATTTCAGAAACCATTGTCAGTCCATTATTAACACAGATAAGATACAAAATGCCAAGATGTTTTAATCTAGACTTTTATGCAAGAGGATCTTCTCTTCCCACCTGGTGTCTCTATCAGAGATAGTCATTACTGAATTTCTAGCTTTGAAGAAGTAGCCAGATTGTGACTTCAGTTGCATACTCCTTATACTACTTGAAACATATGGCTGAAAGAACATGGTATTTTTTAAGTCTCTTTCAGCACAAGCAATGTCTGTGTTACACAGACAGTAGGTCTACAGCTCTTGCACATCTCTGCCTAATCTTTGGACGACTTCTTTGCTGGACTTAATATGTCACTTCGTTTGCACTGTTCCTAATATAAAAACAGCGGTTTTGTTAGTTTTGTGTTTGTTTTTATTTCCTGTAGATAGAATTGTCTAGTTAATCATGAAGTCACACTTTTAAATGGCTTTTTTTAATACAAGCTTTCAGTAAAAAAAAGCTTTTTTGATGAGTCACTTAGGAAGATTTTTAAGATTAGCTCTTCTTCTGCATGTGTTGCTTTGATTAATAACTGTAGCAGTCTGACTCATTTGCATCACTGGAGTACAGGAATATTTTCTTATGTAAGTTGTTCTGTAGCTCCAGTTTTCATTTTGGTGACAATATTGCATCAAAAGGTGTATAAAATTGCCATCAATCTAAATTTTTTTGTCTGCTATAGATAACCTTATGACCATGTCCTTTAGTCTTTAACATACAGTGATGCGAAGTTGGTGTGCATGAGAGCGAGCATGCTCTTGGACGTTTTCCTGATTTTGTAGCTTTTGGGGATATGTGAAGGGAGGGGCAGAGTTAAATAGACTACATGTACAAAGCTCTTAGTTTATTAAAATTGCACAATCAAGCACTTAAAATGAAGAAATTCCCATGCAACCTCTGTTTTGTCGCTATTTTATTAAAAACTTTGAAAAGATTTAAGAATGTTGTGGAAAAAACAAAAGGTGTTGCTGTTGTTGAGCAATGTGCATTATGAGTATCAGGGGGGAAAAAACCCTTCATATTGATGACCCATGCAAGTGTCAAACATTAGACTCGCTTACTTAACAGATTTTTCAGCCCTGAGCTGAGCTAAGGGGAGGAGAATATGGGGTTCCCTGTCTGTTGGTGGGGGGAGGACTCTGCAGGGAGCAGGAGTCTCCCCTTCTTCCCTCCTCCAAACCAGCCTTGTTTTGCCTCTTTGCTCCCAAGAGGGTGGTGGCTTCTTCAAGTGCTCAAGGTTAAAAGGATTTCATCCTACATCTCAGGGGCAGGGAGGGCTTGTGCCATACTGGCATGATGTGCTCCTTCAGCTAGCTGGCTGTGAAAACAGGCACCGAGTGCCATAGTACTAACAGTGAGAATTACTAACAAAGCTGCAGTACCCATAACCTTTTGTGAGATGTGACTAATCTTTACTCTCACTTATACTTTGACTGTGTGTTGGTCACTATGTACCTATTAAGTGAAACAGTTGTTGCAGAAGAAAAGCACTTGATTACCATCTTCTTGTATAATTCAGGGTCAGTCAAGAAACTTTTCTATGCTTATGTCAGTGCTGCATCATTGCATCCTAATAGATGTGATGGAATAACTGTTTTCAGCCAAAGGTCTTGTGAAAAGAGAGGACATCCTACATACTTAATTCCTTTGAAATACTGTTACGTAGCTGAATTTATGACTTCTCGTCACTGAAAAGTAAGTTGAAAGTTGTAGTTGTGCTTTCAGCCTAAATTACTTTTCCTACAAACCAAGTCACTAAGTCTGTGATTAAATAAATTGCCCGAAACACAGGGGAAATGCTGTGTAGTACAACTTTTTCTAGTGACTACTATATGAATATTCAAAAATAACCAGCCCTGGGTGAATAGTAAACAGATTAACAATTGAACAAGCAGAAGAAACAAAAAGTTTGTATCTCTTGGAATTGAAGATAATCTGAAACATTTTTTGGACATTTGTCATGAAATAAAACCACTTGTTTTGGGGTCAAATTATTTAGGCTATTAAAAAATGAATTCTTTTAGGCAACTGTAATAAAAGCAGGATGGTAGATTCACAAGCACTGCTCAATTCTAAAGACTTTCAGGGGAAAGCTGTGTTCATAACTTACCTTCAACAATTTCAGACCTAGGATTTGATCACAGCTTTCTGCTCAAAGTGCTTCAGTCAATCCATGTTTTGAAGCTGTTCCCTGTCTAAAATCTTAATCTCATTGGATGAGGGTGAGAATAACTATCCTGAGAGTTGAAGTAATCCTTAGTTAGTATAGGTGTATAACATAGTATATTAATACTATAGACCTGATGTTTGCAAATCGTCTGGCTGTCTTAAGTTTGTGAGTTGACTGTACTTAATGACATTATGCTTCTTACAGGAGTAAGGCAATGATTTTGCACCAAAAATATATTTGGCTGTTGAGCAACTTCCAAAATCAGTGGGACCTGGGCTGGGACATGGAGGGCACTGTGCAGTTTCATAGGAAAGATTTGTGGAAAAAAAGAACTGAGAAATAAACTGGGAGATGAGATGCATACAGCTTACTGTGTGGGAAATGGGAACACAAATGTCTCTCTTTTTTTTTTTTTTTTTTAAAGGAATTCACTTAAACTTGAAGGAGGAAAATGGTATTCGTGGGTGACATTAGCACAGTCTTGTTGCAGATAAAGCAACTGGAGAGAGGATATAAGGAAAATGTTGTCCTGTCATCATTTTATACTCAGCCTCAGTACAATGTCTGTGTTCTTATTTGCTTACTATGCCAAAGTTCTTTGACTAAGTGGAGTGGCTGGTGTATTTTTAGATGGTGCACATGCAAGTCTAAAAATGCAAAGGACGCTCAAGCCTCATGCCAGTTTCATGTCCAAAATGTTATTTTCACTTTAAAAAACAAGAACAGACAAACAAACCACCTTTCTTTCTGTTTCTTCTTCAGTCAATACCCAAACTCACCTTCCCAGGTGGATTATTAATTGGTTGCAGTCCTGGACTCATGAATGTCCCTAAGATCAAAGGGACACACACCGCAATGAAAAGTGGCATGCTGGCTTCAGAAGCCATCTTTAGCCAGTTAATCAATGAAAATCTCCAATCAAAGACAATAGGTAAGATCACTGTACTTTGATTTGTGATTACATTGTGTTTGGTTAGAATCATCTACAGGATGTCTAAAGGAATTAGTTGGAAATGCAAACGAATCATGAAATGAGTGTGGCGGATTAAAAAGATAATCTGTTGTTTATTTACTAGTTATACTGTCAAATGCTTTAAGAAAGAAAGAAATTAATAACATTTTGCTTAGTTATTCTTAAGTATTGATCCTATTGCTAGAACAAGACTATGCCTCTAAGGAGCATCTGAAAAGTAAGCTTATGCTTCCTCTATAAGTAAGCAAGAATAGTATATATTTCGTTTCTACAAATATGTTAAAAATTAGCACTTTATGATTCAAAAAGAAGTTGCTGGAAGACTGCAGAATCAGCAAGGAAAAAAATTAGAGGGACAGAGTAAATTACGCAAACAGGGTGAGATTTTTCAAGTTTGCTCTTCACTGTTAATTGTTAGGAAGCTTTTTTCCTGCAGTCCTCTCTTTCTGTCTTTAATTTTATAGTCTTCTCAGTTTGAGACTACATGTATTTCCTATTATATGTAATGCAAGCACATTGAAGTAATCGCCACATTGTAGTGATTTATTTAAGCCTTGGTTGTTCCCTTAAACCTGTTAACAAAGACTGCAGAGGGAACCCAATCAGGATTTCAGTCATTCTGGAGATGGACACTATACCCAGGTGCCATATGATGATTATTTTAGAAATCTCTCCCCTGTAGTGCTGGATTCAGTCCTAGTGAGCTCTGTCCAGCTGAAACATGCAATACACATTGTTACAGAGGGTATGCTGAACAATTAAAACTTCAACTAGTGTAACAGGTTAAAATGCTTAGAACCCATCTGGAGCAATAAATGCTCTTACTGGGTCGTGTGCCACTCTTGTTTGATTATGGACAGGTTTTATATGCTGTTTCCAGTTTTGTCAAGACAGTAGAATATTACAGCCCGCTTTCTTCTCTCTGCATGGATAACAAGCTTTGTTCAGAGCCTTATGTGAGACAGCAAATATGGACTGAAGCATGTTTTCATGTATAGACAAGGCGTAAAACTTACTATGTAGAACATCTATTCCTATACAGTAGTAATGGAGAATGGTAAAGGGGAAGCTCTCAGAAAATTTTTCATTTGAAGAAATTTTTTTTTGCTAAGATAGTTCCTTGGCTTTAACTACACTGCAGGACATGTGTCATGTGACAAGTGTGCAGTGTCTACTATTTGTAAAGAATACAATCAAAGAGTTTAAATCAAAAGTTTGTAGTCAAATATAGCTCATAAACTTGCTGATTACAAAGGGAGAAAAAACATTCTCTAGCACCCGCATCATCCATTCGGCCATTGTCATAGTTTCATATTGAAATTGGAATATTTGTGGTTGCATAACTTGTAAAGAAAAAGCTTTTGAACTTAACATTAAAAGTTGTTCTTGGATCTGGTTCTTGGATCATAGGTAAACTCTCCCGGGTCAATTCTTAGATTCTGTGAGAGTAAGTGATTTCCTGTAGAGGTGCCAATATAGCCACCTGGCCAGTTATCTTTGTATTTTGCTGAGGTCTGAGGCAATTTAATGCTGCTTGTGGGTCATCTAATAGAGGCTACAAAGGAGCAGTAGATATCTGCTGGTAACTGCCAACAAAACAGATCTCTTCAAGAGGCTGAAATATGTTGTCTAGTATATTCCTAGCTTACTATTCCAAAACCCTCATTTTGCTGTCTTTGTTACTAACAATTGCCTTTATTCAGCAATTATTTTTTATTTCAAGGATAGTCTTTATGTACTGTAGGTACCTAACAAGTAATGTACTGCCTTAGGACTTGAAGTGCAAGAATATGAAGAGAACCTGAAAAAGTCCTGGGTCTGGAAAGAGCTGTATGCGGTTAGAAACATCCGGCCATCCTGCCATAGCATACTCGGTGTGTATGGAGGAATGATTTACACAGGTATATTTTATTGGCTACTGAGAGGAATGGAACCATGGACATTAAAACATCCAGGTAATTTTATTATCTCTTGAAAGAAGATACTAAATGTGTATGTCAGTCTTTTCTGGTGTTAGTTGAAGCTAGAGCACACCTGGTCATGTGGTGAGGCCTTAAAGTGTAGAAAAGAAATCGATGATAAGGCATTGAAGCAGACTTTGTTATATGTAGATGCCCCATCCCTGAAAGTGTTCAAGTTGAGGTTGAACGGGGCTCTGAGCAACCTGATCTAGTTGAAGATGTCCCTGCTCACTGCAGGCGGGTTGGCCTAGATGATTTTAAAAGGTCCCTTCCAACACAAACTATTCTATGATTCTGTGATTCTGTATTACCTAGCATATAATGTAAATGAAGGCATGAAAACACTATTCTACTTCGCATATTTTTTTGTCTCATGAAAGAGGCTACTTTTATGAAATACTTCATTCTGACGATAAGGGAAGTTAAAATAGCATAAGTTGTTCTTGAGTAACTGCAAATTACAGTCATTCTGTACTGAAACTTATTTATTAAAAATATATTTAGGACCAGATTTTGCTCAGCTCAAGCCAGCCAAAGATTGCACGCCTATTGAATACCCAAAGCCTGATGGAAAAATCAGTTTTGATCTCCTTTCATCTGTGGCTTTAAGTGGTACAAACCATGAACATGACCAGCCTGCTCATTTAACTCTCAAAGATGACAGCATCCCTGTGAGCAGGAACCTGGCTGTATTCGATGGACCGGAACAAAGGTTCTGTCCAGCAGGTAGGTCATAAAAATGTGTATCTGAGCTGTTTTTGCAAGATGAAAGACTAAGTACTTCAGGAATAGTCCACCTGGCCTACAACTTTCTTCAAGCATTTTATCCAAACCTCCTCCTAGAAGAGAGTTCAAGTGCAGGTCTTAAAATATGTTAACAAAGTAATTAGTAACTATGGAGGGCAGCAGTTGAATCACGCTAGTAATACACTTCCCTCATTACGCTTGCTAGTAAGTAGCAGAGCATACATGTGGGGCAAAACTGTTCAGTGAAGTGATAGCTCTCTTTTGCTCTTTGCAGGAGTTTATGAATATATTCCTCTGGAAACAGGAGAAGGATCAAGGCTGCAGATAAATGCTCAGAACTGTGTCCACTGCAAAACATGTGATATCAAAGACCCAAGTCAGAACATTAACTGGGTAGTGCCTGAAGGTGGAGGGGGACCAGCTTATAATGGGATGTAAACTGATGGGAAATCTATTCAGTGACTTCTGACCACCAACAACTAAGTTGGACTATTCTATGCTGCAGTGTAATTGAAGTACAGCATTGACCTGAATGTTAAAGGGTTTGAGACTAATGTGCCATTCTGAATTTTAGGTGTGACTGTTGCATTAAATGGAAAGTCGGTGCCTTCCGGTTAAACCCTAGCCTTATTTAAATAGGACTTCTTTACAGGAGTTGTGTGGCAGGCAGAAGAAGGTTCTTCTCAGGACTGACAAAGGAGCTTTGGATCTTGGATTTATTGCTGAAGTTCAGTGGTAACAGGAGCCATATCCAGAATCGTGGGTAGGGTGGAAGAATTTAGTACCCACCCTTTAAAAAAAAGTGTTTTCTTTCTCTATCTGGAGTGATTTACTATAAGTAATTCCACCTTGCAGTAGGGAAAAATACATCAGTCTAGAAAATTGTTACTGCTCTTAAGTGTTACACATTTTGTATCAAATTTACAGTTAGATTTTTTTTTTTCCTGATGATAACAGGGAGCCTATCTGCAAGCAGTAAAGCAGTTTAAAAGAAAAAGTGTAATACTTGCACCTTCACTGTATGTCTACCAGCATCTTTCTTCCTTATGAGAAATCAGGCCTGGTCTAATAAAAAGTCTTAATAGAAACTCTCTAAATTGTCTTGGTGTGAAACCAAGCTTCTGAGGAAGTGTTGTTTAAGCTGCAAGAAACACAACCACTACTGCTTTACACATTAGAAACACACCCGAGTCACAAAACACAAGTTTTTACAGCTTAAAAAAAGAAAACCACTTCACCTTTGAACCATTTATTATTAAACTTTTCAGTTGTAAACACTGAAAACTGCAGTACAGGGCAAATGAAAGAAGCAGTTCCATTTATGTTTTTGCATGAGTTAGTGCGTACATTTAAAAGTTTAGAAAAAAATCAAGCAAACATTTTAGCATAAGCTGCTTTCTCTTTCTCCTTCTGGGCTTTTATCTTCTGCTTGATTCTGAGTGTTTCTGTCTGGATAGCTGCTTAAAAAGAAAATCCATGATAGAGTTACAGTAATCTCTTCACATTATGTCTCCTAATATGTCAAGACCAGGTCACACTGCTGCAACTTAACTTACCTGTATTATTTCATTTCATAGAACTGCATTTAATCTTCTATTAGGTCAGATACTAGCAGCAAAAAAACACTGTCCCTTACTTTGTTTCACCTGGTAAAGTAACCAGGTAGAGGAGGGTGTAGCACGCATAGGATTGGTGCCAACGCAGAATTTGAGAGCTCAAAATCTTACCCAGTTAGACCAGGAAATTAAGAATGACCTCTGTGAGATGGGCAGATGGTTCAGGAGGCATGCCATTGACCTACATAAGCAGGTTTTCCAGTGCAACAGAAGCATCACTGCCGATTTTCTACCTCAGTGGGCTCTGTGCTCAATACATCAGTGTTTAAGCTGGTGGAAGCCAGCATTCTAGGCATCACACTGGTACAATTTCCTACTAAATACTACCCTGGTTACTTTGTTCCATTCTTAAAAAAAAGTAAAGAATTTATAAAGAAACAGCTTTATTTTACCTTTGTCTTCAGGGGCTATTTCATGAGCCTTTTTAAGATCACCCTTAAAAAAAAGAAATACAAATTAATGTTCTGGTGAAATGTTTGGATTTAAAAAAAAAGAAAATTAAATACTGTGATCATTACCAATGCCTGATCGAGATCTTTTACTCCCTGCCATCCTTGAGCCCGTCTGTAGAGAGCTTTAGTATTTGCTGGGTCTATTTTAAGAGCCTGTAAATTTAATAAAATTGTCACATTAACATTTCATATACTTCACAGCCTCCCATCTCCGCAAATGGCACAGCTCACACCAGCAGATAATCTCCCCAGTTGGTTTGAGGGTAAACTGTAAAAACATTAACGGTGTAAAAAGGAATGCTACATTGTAGCACAGTGAATAGCTAGCTAATCCCTTCTAATACCACTGCACGAGAAGTCATCTTTTGTGAAGGACAAGCATACATGAGGATAAAATGGAACCTATGTGTCTGATACATATATATCACTGTCATGGCAAAGGTGTTGCTGCAGTTCAAATTATCCTAACTGTGAGTCTTACAGTAAAACTCCCTATATTGCAGGTCCTTCCACCACACAAACAAACCTTCAAATCGCATCATAAAGAAAACACGAAAATTTCCTGTAAAGCTTTTTTCACTGTAGGCTAGGAAGACACATAGAAGCAATCCATCTCATTCTTCAGGAACCTTGCCAAGTTCCAGTCATTACAACTTTTTTTGGGGCTGAATGGTTTCACTAATGTGTATATGCCAGCTTTAATGACAGTGGCTGGGCAAAGAGATTGTTCCACTATTCGATTACTGACATTATTTTTTCAAAGTACGTCAGTTAATTTGGCTAGCTAGCTGTTTTGTTTTCTTGTTTGTAAAGATCTCATTCTTTTTTCTTATTGCAGATAGTTCTATAGTGTGTCCTTTTTTATTATTGTTTTAAAGAATATAGTTTCTTAGGGATTAGAGGAAGTCTCTTTGCATGAATGTGTGGCTTTATGAATTTCATTTATTAACTTTAAATCATTAATTAAGAAAAACAGACATTAGATGATGCATCTAGATTTTTTTAAATCACTTCAGTATTGGCTGTTAATATAAAGGAAGTATTACTCTGGGCACTTGTCCTGATCTCTCCATTGTAAAGCCTAGAGTCTCTTCTGTGTCAAGAACTAGAAAATTGGGTGTCTGTATTGTGTACATGTAGGTAGCATTCGTAGTTTTTTGGCTCAACCATTGTGCTTAGAGTTATTTTAAAGCAAGGTTTGTTTGAACAGGTTCAGCGATTTGTAATTCCTTATTTACACCAAATAACACATGTATTACAGATAGTTAATTTAGTTAATTTAAATTGCTTTTGGCCTTAGGAATTGTTAAAAGTGAAAGTGTATAGTTTCTCATTAACAATTACCTCGAACTCTACTAGTTAATCTTAGGAAACTGGTGTTCTGGTTAAAACACTGATTAACACTTATTATGAGATGTAAGCAAAATACCTTACAGAAGTCTATTACAGCTATGGAGTTGCCTTTATCTAACAATTCCGTAATCTTAAAAAGAAGGAAGTGTTGGGGTTTTTTCCATAATGGCAAGTATTATGATTAATAATTTTTATCGGTAACGCTTCAATGCTGTTTCAATTTTTACCATTTTCTAGATGTCACGTTACACAGTTTTCTTACTTGTTTTCTTTCCTCATTCTCCATCTGTCCATTCTGAATATAGGTTTATGAAAGTTTTCCATGTAGTAACGCCATCAGCAGGCTAGAAAACACGCCAGCTCTCTAGAGACCTCTCACACACAGATTATCTGAGACTCATGCTTTCAGCCTTGAAGCCCTAGGAAACGCTGCTCAGGATCTTCTGCTAACAGATAAGAGAATTTTTTACTCTGTTTCCTTCAAAATTTCAGAGTTTTACTGAATTATTTAAAGTTTCCTCAAATATGCTAAATTCTCTCAGTATGTCTGTGTCACTGCTCCTTTTTTTCCCTTTAATTCTATTATTTTTTAGTATTTCCATATTTATTGTTTCCTCCTTTCTTCCTGTTCAGTGGTTTCATTTCACCACTAAGCCTACCTAAAAGGGCTTTAGTTAGAAAGGTCACTTCAATGAATAAAATTCAAGACCATAAAATCTAAAAGCAAGTAAAACGTTTTGCTCATACTAGTCTTCCACAGAAAAGTATTCCTCTTTCGATGAAGACAGTTTAACTCTTTGTAATACAAAAATTAGCTCTGCTAACCAAAGGGACAATGCCAGTGTGCAATTTTTTCTGGCAGTAAGCAACAGCCCTCTTTTGTTTGTTTCTAATGAGTCATTTCAATTTCAAAATCTTAAAAAAGCCACATAGTGGAAAGTTAGTAATAACTTCACAACCAACCTTCTATTTTGTTTACTTTCAAATCATAAGCTTGTCAGAAGACTCTTTTAAAAAGCTTTGGAGTTTCAGTTTCCTTTTTCTGTATAGGTCAATTGTTAATCAAAATACTAAACATTAAATTTACCTCTGAACAACTTTCAATGGCTCCCTGCCAATCTGACAGTTTTAGTTTACAAGCGCCAATGTTTAAAACACAGGTCAAAGCAACAGCCTTTAACTTTGGTTTGTCTGATGACTCTGCTACTGCTTCAGAAGCTTCTACATACCTGCAGAAAAACAGATTTAGAAAGAATGTGTATTAGTATTGCAACTTCCATTTTGTTCTGCCTTTAGCTATCTTTCTACAGATAATGTGTGGAACTGGCTTATCCAAACTGGCATTTTTAAAGCAGTTTCAATTCCACTATTACAAATATTTATTACACTAAATATATAAGACATACCCTGACAAAAAAAGATTAACTCACTGGTGAATGTTTTCCTGTAACTCCTAGTCCTCCACTGTACTAATAGCATTATTTTCCTTAGACGAATGCATTATTTTAGATGGCATGAAACCATGAGAATTCATCTCAATGACTGTTTATTCTCAAAAAACATGTTGCTCATCAGTGGCAAAAAGTCAATGCCACCATTGCAACTTCTACATTCGTGGGAAGCTTCATCTCTTCTACAGTTCCCTCCGTAATATTTTAATTAGTTTAGGCATTTATGGCTAAAATCTGAAGCTAACTTTACTTTGTAAAGGAGGGTGGTTTATGAGCATTAGTAACTCCACCTTATTTCCATTGTCTTCTTTCATGACTTTTTTCCTGAACTTCAAAACCGGCACTAGTTTAGTAGGACTAAGCCACCTCATTTACTGCATAGGCAAACTGCATCTCATTCTTTTTAATTTACAATATGCTGATGCTGTCAGTTTCTTATTTCAAATGGCAGAGGTCTGTTGTGGATATAAAAGTTCTAACACTTTTAATGGCGTACTTGATAGAACTTCTGTGGTTTTTATTTAAAAAATAAAAACCATGTGTTTGCATACATTCACATTTTAAGCATGCCACAATTAATGTAGTCTTTGCAGATCAGTGCCCACGTAAGTTCAATTTTTGCATGCCCTATCTTTTGAATGTTGCATGGTTTGTATACAGCTTTAGACCACCGAAATAAGCAATCCTTAAAAAGTAAATTAGACATAGTCCCAGTGATTTTTCCACTTGCTGGGCATCATGCAAAAGATAAGAACCAGAAAGGAGAGAAAAGGCTAAAAGCTAAGGAGAGTTATAATACAAAACTGTTATGTTCAAAACAAACAACACATCTACACTATTTGTAAATCACACCAAAACATGAAAGGCTGCATTCTGCAAACAAAATAAGAGCTTCCAAGTCAAAGAAATCAGTAAGATGAATATCAATGGAGACAAGAGGAAGTAACATGTTTTTTGACAAAAAGTGTCAATTCTTACATATGAAATAATTTTTTTAAAAATGGTCAAGCAGCCATAAGTCAAGAAAAAGGACAGACAGGTATAATGGCTACACGGAAAAAAACAACATTGCCAGATGGTTTGCTCGGTGAGTTGTATATAAGACATAGAAGATACCCTGATAAGAGCTGTTCTTACCCGTATCAGTTCTGGTGAAGTGCCAGCTAGAATACACCTTCCTACCTAAAGTATTAGGTTTTAAGATATGACAACAGGGCATGTCCACAAAAGTATGACGTATAAAGAAGAGCTGGAATGATCAGATTTGGTTAGTCTAGAAAAGTTACAATCCTTCCCATCCACAAGGACAAATAAGCCCCAAATAGAGGCTGTCTATTCAAACTGGAAGAGCCTTCCATTGGGTGTGCTTAAGAGTGAGCAAGACAACTGACTGTAAGGGATGGCATAATTATACCTGATATTTACCCAAGAATGGGGGGAAGAAATGGACAGATACAACACAGATAAAGATTTATTCCAGCCTTTTTTCTGCATAATTTCTAAAAGGTTTACATAGAAATCGTGTTTAATTCAGGGTTTCTGCTGGTCTATGATGGGCTTTTTAAGGTCAGGGGGAGACGTTGCATCTTGGGTTAATATCTGTAATTAAATAATCTGTATGCTTCAGAAAGACATCAATTGTTCAAAACCCAGTCAGTTAAAAACTTAGCTGAAGCATTAAATATGCCTGAATTCTTTTTTGTTCATTATTGTTACTGCTAGTTAACCAGTGATCATTAAGTAGGCATAAAGGTCACTATAACATTAAAAAAAAAGTTTTTAGGAGAAGCTCATATATATAAAGCAAAAAGCATGAAGAAAAGAAAGGAGCAGTATGGAAACAAAAGCAGAAAGGCCATGATTTTGAAGGCAAATCTGAACTATACATGGAGTCAGGATGATGGTATGGAGCCTCTGAAAAAATAATAATGAATTTAATAAGTGTCACATTTGGGGGTACTCTCTCTTGAACTTACCAATTTCCTAAACCTACTGGTTTTTCAGAAATCAGAGAAAAAATACCTCCCTCCTTTCCTGTTCTTTAACTATCCTGTCTACTATTTGTGCTTTTCTTCCCGGTTATGTACCAGCACAGCAAGAGTATTAAAAAAGGAGCATTTAGGCACTTCTAAACAATACTTCCTGCTTATAGCTCTTACCTAGCAATGAGTAGAAGACCTACTTGAATAAGCAGCTAAAAATCAGCCAGATGTCTTCCAGATTCAGAAGGCTCTTTTTTAAAAAAAGAAAAGAGCATAGCAACAGGCACTTTTTAAATGCACATGTAATTGCTTGATTAATTTGGGTTACAGAACTACCTGATTGAATGATGATAGCCTTACCGTAAACTTTTACTATACTTTTTAGCTGCCACTGCCCAATTTTGCGATTTGAAGAAAGTATTTCCTATATTCTTTATGTCTTCTGCTATGGCCACAATCTTGTCAACCTAATAAAATAGATGGAAAATATAAAGTATGAACGTACTTATGAAAGAAGCCTTGAATAACTTAATGTTTAACAGTAGGATCCCATGTCCATCCTCTTTCAAAGATTATAAAATCTCAGAATAAAAATATTCCAATTTTAGACAAATACTAGCTTCAAAGCACTCCTATAATATTTTCTACTTTATGCAATACAACAGTCTGAGAGATTAAATTCCTAATGGGTGTTTTCTACAGCGTAAAGAGTAAGAAAATACCAAGAGACAACATAGCAGTTCAACTCCTTCCCCTAAATGCTGCTACCCACACAGAGCTATATATAAAGGCGTTGACCGTTATTCACAGAAGACATGTTAACAATCAAAGTATTCAACCAAGACTGCCTTATTCCCAAGAGAATTTTGTCTTCTGCTTCTCAAAATGCTATTAGTCACCTGAACTCTGCACACTCTCACACTTGAAGTCGTATCAACACAATTCTCCTTCTCTCAAACCACTTAAAACATTTACGGAAAGAGAAAAAGAACAACTGCCTGTCTTTATCAAATCCATCATTTCTATTTCCAGAATGGCATACATTTCAAGTATTAAGTTACTCTTCCAGTGGCAATAAACAGTTTATAATTACTGCTGTCTATACCACAGTTGTCTTAAACTCTGTCAAACATATATACTGCCATTTGTAATACTATCAGTTTACACTTCTACCCTACTAGAACTAATGACCTTGAAAAAATTTGATCAATAGCATGAGACTAGTGTCACTGTGGTTTCTGTAGTTAGTTTATATGAGCAAGTTTAAAGTTAAAGGAGGCAGGTACCTGCCAGCTTCAGTTCTGAGCCAAGCAAAAGCTATCCAAAAACTTTTTCACAACTTGAAGTGCTTCTCAGTAGTCAGATACAAGGAGTTTCTGGTTTCTGGCTGCAATGCTTTTTTTTACTATTCTATTTCTAACTCTGTAGTTGGAATCTACACGTGCAGTCCCCTTTTTTTTTCCCTCTCACATATCGCTGTTTGATTCACACAGTTTGTCTCCTTCACTTTTATGATAAAAACCTGCAGAAGAGCTGCTTTCACCAGTTTGCTCCCTAACTCTCAACAGCAGCTCTTCCTTCAGTTTGAACAACCTGAAAAGCAAGTAACTATTGGGAATTGAGAATGACTAGCTCTGATGTAGTAAAAAATAATAATTATTTCTAGTAAGTTAGACAAAATCTTTTTAAGGGAGGATATTTAAAAAGTTGCACAGCCAGAGCATATAAGTACAACATTCAGTTAGTCTGCAGGATGGAGTTCTAGTAATTGCAATTTCTCACTACAGCACAAACAGAAGTAAAAAGAAACAAAGAACAGAAAACAAAAGTGTCATAATTCTAAGTAATTGTAGTTTTAGTTACTGGGGAAAAAAACAGCTGTAATTAGCACTGAAAAAAAAAAAAGAGATAGCAATCCCTTCCCACAGCATTCTCTTGCCTAAAATTAAATGTCACCATTTAATCAGGACCTTGATTGATTCTTAAGAAAAAAGGCTTAATGAACATCATCACAGACACCATGTAACTCAGATTACCTACAAGTCTTGCATTCTGTAAAATATCTTAAAAGAAAAACACTTACATCTTTCAAGTCTATATCGGAATCTTCAGGAAAATCTGGATGAGCATCTCCAGATCCATCCTGGGGAACAATTCCCCAGTCATCTCCTTCCTTTAGCTCTCCACATTCTGCAATGACGCACAACTGAAAAAATAAAGGGTAAATAGCAATATTGCTTATTAAGACAATTTAAAAAAAAAAAAGCCACAACTTCTGGGTGCTCTTTGAAATTCAGTAAAAATGCTTCTTCATCTGTTGTTTGGGTGCATTCATTTCAGATACCCATCACATCATTAGCCTATCCTCATCAAAAGGCTTTTATCACAGAAAGTGCTGTGTTCAGAGGAGCAGCATTCCAGGAACACCATACCCACACTCCACAGAGAGGCTGGAAGAGGAAATGGCAGCAAGCTGAGCTGCAGCAAAACACAAGACATGGAAGTTCTACTACATTAGAGAAGACAGTTCTTAAACTGCCAAGTCTTTTAAAGTTGCAGAGGTATCAATTTTTCAAACAACCACAAACTGACATGAACTGCACACTGATTGCTTTTCCAGAAATTGTGAATTCCACCTTTTAATTCCATCACTCATCCTACACTTCTAGCTGTGCATTTCCACTTTCACCCTGATAAAAGACTTCCACCCTCACAGCTGTGTTGAGTAAGAAATCAATTGTTTGTGCTGGGGGAATTTACAGCAAAAGAACAAAAGCGTCTTAACAAGGACATGGGAAAAATAGAAACATTTTTATAGTAAATATATAAACATATAAACAGTAAAAATAACTGGTTAACATTTAATAGTTCTAAATATTACACTAAGCATTTAGAAGAAATGAATATACATCATATAATGGAAGAATAATCATCAGCTGTAAGTGCTTTGGATTTTGCTTACCTTAACAGGATTTTCTCCTTTAACTTCAACGTTTTCTAACATTTTAACTACACCCATTCCTTTGATCACTTGGCCAAACACCACATGTTTCCCATCCAGGTGAGAAGTAGGCACCGTTGTAATAAAGAACTGAGAGCCATTAGTACCAGGTCCTGCATTTGCCATGCTCAACAGGCCTGGTTTATCATGCTGCATTGGGGGGAAAAATCACAACCAACATATAAAAGATCTCTGGTAAAACCACATATAAGATTCTTTAAGGCTATTCATATATATAGCAAGGACAGCCATAATGACAACTTGGTAAACCAGACAGTTTAATTTTAAGTAATTTTACCTATTATGACTGAAGAGGGCAAATGCCCAGCTCTGCATCTTTACTTGCCACCTAGCAGTCTAGCAAGCAGAGCCACATGTGTGACTTGATGCTGTAACATCTGTCTGCTTCTTGTACACTGAATCTCCTGCACAGCTGCTGAGTTTAGAGAGATCGATCACCTGAGAGACATGTGAAGTTCCTCCCTGGATTATTCAAGACCACTGGCCACAAGAAAAAAAGCAAAACAACATTTAATCAAGACGGGTATGTATTGCTAATTTTATAAATGCTACTCACACAAAGTATACTGTAGAACTGTGGGTTTTAGGGGACTGTGGTCTTTACTATTTAAAGGTTCATGGGGTTTTTTGAACCCCTTCACCTTCCGAGAGAGGTGGATTTATTCTGTTGGGATTTTTAACCTAATTATTTTGGCTCATGCTACCAGGCCGCAAACTAACAAAAATTTATTAAACTGCCCAACATGAAAAAATATTGTTTATCTTGTTTTTGTAAGTACTTTCTCCTTCTTTGAAATAAGAACTATCTTGCTCCATCACACAGATTATTTTGTTTTCAGTTGTACTGCAGAAATGTACTTTTCATATGTGTTGTGAATCTCTTGTTAAATAGGCATGACACAGCCATTACGATATCATTCTCCCCAAGTTGATCTGGTTATTAAGTGCAAGGAACTCTGTTTAGCATAAGTCAGTATGTTGTACCAAGCCACTGGTACATGTCTGAAGCAGGCAAGCTGTGGCATTCCTAAGAAACTTGACAGTGTGGGAGGGCAAAAAGAAAAGAAGTATGACAGCACAGAGGAGACAGAATCAGAAATTGCTATGAAGTAGACCTCAGAGCTCAATGGGAGGCTGGTTAGTTTGAGGCAACAGTCTGACAGAGCTGTATTTAAGCATCTGGTTTGTCCCTATAGTCTCTACCACTTTGAAAAACCTGTTGTTTTGGAAACTGTTTTCCCACACAGTGTTTGGACTTCCATGGTGGTAGGGAGAACTCCTTGCCTGAGGTGTTCATCTGGTCATACAGCACAATGAGTCTGAATCTTTCAACCAGAAATTGGCTCAGGAACTCAGAAAAGGTTGTACAGCTGAGAGCTGGAATTGCACCTAGCCAACAGATAGTTACTGGAATAATCTTGACTTGCCTCTTCTAATCTTGAAACTCATCCTGGGAATCAGAGATGGCAAATGACAGAGAGGAAGCCTGTGATCCACAGCAAGAGAAGGCATCTGGTAGCAAGCCTGCAGGAAATTTTGCATTGTAGTTGCTGCCAAACAAGTTCATCAGAAATGTTGCCCCATAGGAGATTTTTGCAAATACCATTTGAGGCTGGTCACTGATTTACTGCCCAAGAGGCAGAATAAGACTTATAAATCTGACTTTTTTTTTTCCCCCCCTAATTACAACTAATGCTAGACAGCAATGGTTTGTGAACGAAGAGCCAAGTAACAATAAGCTGTGGTGTTGCCTTATAACTGCATGTTTACCATGTAAAGATTTGGAGGACAAGTTGGAAAGTTACAGACAGCAGTCTGGTGACTGTGATCTTCACACTTACATGCAACCCCATTTCATTTGGGACCAAGTCTCGACATTAGTCCCATTGATGACAGTCCCTCATCCCTCCTCAATAAACAAAACTGTTGTCACTCATGCATTTCCTTGCCATGAGTGTTTTGAAAGACACTGCAGATAGATAGTCTTTCCTGTGATGGTTTCTGCTTGTCATTTTGTAAGCTTACAAAGCAAGTAAAAAAGTGCAGACAAAATCAGATTCAAGGCTTGCAAAACTATGCCATGGTAACAACACTGCTTGAGGACTGTGTAAGTTGGGTGTTCCACAACGGCACAACCCTTAGCTGGAGAAGTGACACCAAAAAAAGCCTAGTGGGATTGATCTGACAACTGACAAAGTCCTGCAGTTTACTGCAATTTACAGGAAACCATACCAACAACACAAGAACAAACAGGTAGCTCCTTAGCTCCAGTGTCCCCAAGTGTCAACAAAAACAACTCATTGTTGTCCGAGACAGTAGTTTAACAACACTTTGCAGGACTGCCAGATTAAGTGCAAGACCCAGTGAATTTCTGTATGTAGCAGAGGCATTTAACTCCCACTGAAATCCTAACATACTTGACCAACAGATGACAGGAATTGAGCTCCCAGAGCCTGTACAAGATCCAGGTGAGTTCTCCAACTCATCCCTGGCACATTGACAACTTTTATTATACCTGAGCGGTCAGAGAAGTATAGAAATGGGGATCATTTGCATTCCATTCATAATTACCTCCAGATCTCACTTGACAGTATAACCAAGAAAGTAACAAGGACTCAAAGTCTTCAGGGAGCTACAAATCCTGTGACAAGGACCAATGCAGAAGAGGAACTTTACGCAGCAGTGCCACAGGCACCACCAGAACAAGTGTCAGACTTCATAGAACATCTTTCACAACTGTAAATAACTTTATGGTGAATACTGAAGCTACATTTCCAGCTATTGTGCCGAACTTGGTAATAGACTTTGATGTCTGTTTAGTGGAGGATTGCCGTATTTTCTTTTCCTAAAATACTGTTTGGTGGCAAGCACAATTGAAGTCAGGGCTTTCTTTTAACCATGGGACAACGATGTCTGTAAGTTTTTTAGTCATTGGTGTTGACGAGTCATTCATATGCTAACACATAATAACATGATATGAAAACGCTTAATGCCAGTGCTGAGAGTTGTTACACCTACAGCAGTGGGTGTCCTGGCTGTTGTAAGGGATACTTGCAGAACATGTTATTTTTGTTGTTTCCAGGTAGTACTCCCACCCAGGTTCATAATACAGTTAGTAATAATTCAAGCAGGGGGATTTTTTCCAGATGCACAGCTCGTTATGTACAGCTGAGAACACAGGTGAGCACTCAGAACAATTATTATGGTTACCACTTTTCTCCACAATAGCCAAGTCTGCTAGACAAAAAATGTAAGTCATGGTGTGCAGGTAATACTTAAATTTGGAGATCTTCAAATAGCATATAAATTGTAGGCTTAGGGTACACAGACCTGCTTTACAGTACTGTGAAACGCAGTCTTCTTCCCTTTCTGGAATACTTATTTTTAAAGAAAGGTAGCACTAAAATGCTTTAAAAAAAAAGAAAGATTTAAAAATACAGACAGCAAACATGTCTTCTTTCAAAGCATAAAAAGGAAGTCAATCTTATGTCAAAAGACAGACACTGGAGGCATCAACTGCATTTGATTTTGATGACAAAAAGAAGCCTGAAGAATGGTAATGGACATTTTGAAGTTTATTCCTTTGCAAAAGAAAGAAGGAAAGATACAGGACAGATCCTGAGAAAACTGTTGTTCAAAAATTGTACTTTTTAAGTTGTGTGTGTAAAGCACATGCACCTGCAGTCTTCTAGTGGCGTCTAGAGGTTGATTTTGGGTACAAAGATGGTTTTTTCGTCCTTCCTACTCTCGCAGCACAGCTCCCTCCTCTCTTCCTGCAGCTGGGCTGAGAAAACTGCTTGTGGGACTGCACTAATGGTTGAGCTCTGACACAGGAGTGGCAGTAAGTAATGGGAGGAGTAGGAATTCCTGCCATCAAAACCAGCATTGCTTAAAATTCATCCTCAAATTAAGACCTTTGCATATTCAAAAACTTGCTTGGTTCACAGCACATTTTTCCAGCATTTTGGGTAAAAAAAACCCATTCATAAATAGCCTTTTACATCTCATATAACTGAAAACTACTGTAGCGGGGAAAATGCTTTCTTTTACATTTTCCTTTGGATTAATTCTGCACTCTACCATGGATTCCTCACTTCTTAAATAAGAAAGGTATTTCTCACATGTAATCTTATGAATGTTATTAGCATATGGAAAAAAAGAATCATAAAACCCATTTAATGCTAACATACTGTATATGCTTGAGTGACAAAATTTGCCACTCTTAAAATATCATCCCTACTTCAATGAGAACCAAAATATTGTTCCAAATTAATTTCTGATGGCGCAATTAAAAAGAAAATTTAAGCTACAGCTGTCTCTGTCTTAATGAAGTTGACCTCATTTTGTGTGTATTCACACATGTATTTTTCTGTATTCAACAACAGCTTTAAGGACAAAGTAGTTTGGGGCTTTCTTGCTGCATTCTTTCCACTGCTTCAAAAATATGTTAACCTTGGACTAAAGAGCACTGACTCATAGAATCATAGAATAGTTTGGGTTGGAAGGGACCTTCAAAGGTCATCTAGCCCAACCCCCCTGCAATAAGCAGGGATATCTTCAACTAGATCAGGTTGCTCAGAGTCACGTCCAACCTGACCTTGAATGTTTCCAGGCATGGGGCATCTGCCACCTCTCTGGGCAACCTGTTCTGAACGTGAAGAAAAATAAAAATTACTGAAACTTCACAAACTGAATACAATTAGTATTTTCAACAGAGTACCTTATAATGAAAGTTTTCATCTTCGAATTTTTCACCATATATACTTTCTCCACCTGTGCCATTTTGGTTTGAGAAATCTCCTCCCTGGACCATGAATTGCTTAATAACTGTAAAAGAAAATAATTATAAAATACAGCAGTAAGGAAGGAAAGTCACAAAGAAAAACAATTCAGAGATGAAGAGCAATCCCTGTCATCAGCACCTGCACCTAAATAAAACTGAAACCCACCTTTTATTTATCAAGTCTCCCTAAGTAGTCCTTTTCAGGTAAGTGGACATCAGTTGATATTTAATCCTTTACCTGAAATCCATTTCAACCTATTCCTAACTCATAGTAAACTAGTTTTACTAACTTACTAGTAAATTTATAATTTACTATTGCCAATGCATGGTAAAAATATCTTAGTCATTAGGAGGATCAAAAAGTCAAAAACTTACTTTCAGACAGGTTATTTCTTAAACAAGTGCTTAGAAATATTATTTAACATTATTTCAAATACTGATAATGGAGGACTTCTGTTACCAACAGGAAAACAGAGGACTTTATAGAACTTACTTCTGTGGAAAGGACATCCTTTATAATGGAGAGGTTTTCCAGTGGTAGGCCCTGTTCCTTTCTCTCCTGTACATAACGCACGGAAATTTTCAGCAGTTTTAGGTACAACGTCAGCAAATAATTCAAAGACAATGCGTCCAACTGAAATGACAAAGAGAGAATGAGACATATTTTTTAGTCCCATCCTTGGCATGGTGATGTGTTGAGCATTACAGGCCAAAGGAAATTAATGTTTCAGACTTGATTAATTTTATTTAGATTACTGTTAAATTTACATTTGGGGGTTGTTCCATGGCAATCGCTGTCAAGAGTTACATTAGGTTTTTATCAAGGTTATTATCAACAATGAATTCCACTATCAAGAATAATTTAGGGGGAATAAAGACAGATTTGCCAAAAAATACAAAAAATGCCAAATGCATTTTCTGCTTAAAAAAACCCTGTGTCGGAAATCACACACATATACATTAAAGCTAAATTAGGTATTTTAACAAGCATACTTGTTTTATGTCTATTTTAACATACATATATAGCTTGTTCAATCAAAAACGATACAATAAAAAAGGACTGTTTTGTGAAGGCTTTCATTTGATGAAAAGGCTTTTGCCAAACATGTACAGCAACGCTACTCCTCATTCTCTTAAACCCCAATTTTACTAAGACACAGGCATATGAATAATGGCTATTTACAGTTACAGATGCTACAAGCAATCATTAAATCCAAAAATGTACATGTTTTAACTAAAGGAAGTAAAGCCTGAGTGGCTAACAGATCCTGTAAGAGCTGATTCTGTGCCAAATTCTGATCTTTTCACAAACTGGCTTCTTGGAGAGCTATTTCTCATTCCACCAGTCAGTCGATGCTCCTGTTTCCTCATCTGCCTCACAGTCAATTAGTTAACATAACTTCACTCTACTGGAAGCTAAATGTAAATATATTAATTCTAATTAATACAGGAATGAAAACAAATTAGACAACTGAAAGTCAATGAAAGGCAAATCATCTTACAGACTTTCTTCTTTTATTCCTCCGAGTAGCAGAACGAATAAATGAGGCAATATCCTGCCAAAAAAGCAGCATCTATCTTCACCCACGCCAATTTTGGAAACCTACCCTCTCAAATATTACCCCACCTTTCATGTTGTTTTTTCTTACTTCCATTTTGACCGTTTGCCCAGATTTTTGAATGACCTCTGGCAACACCGGCGATGCCAAGAGCACGACCAGCACTACCCGCCT